AGGGAAAGACCTATAACCAAGGTGAACACATTAGTTATTTTGCTCATCAGTGGCCCAAACAGACTGGAGAAGGAATCCAGTTCTAGGGGATCCAGACAATGATGTCAAGGAGAACACAGTGGAGCTGGCTACTTTATCCTGGGCCAGAAAGCAGAGAGAAAGGGAATGCCAGCATGTGTCTGTGTGCCAGTTGGTTTTGTTGTAAACTTGACACAAACCTAGACATACCTGGGAAGATGGAATCTTAACTGAGAAAATGCTTCCATAGGATTGGCCTGGAGGCAAGTCTGTAGGGCATTTTCTTGACTAATGATTGATGTAGGAGGGCCCAGCCTGTTGTGAATGGTTCCATTCTCGGGCAGATAGTTCTTGAGTGCATAAAAAACAAAACTAAACAAACTAGGAGAAGCAAATCAGTAAACGGCACTCCAACATGGTCATAAACATTAATGGATTGATTATTCAATTCAAAGACATAGAATAACTCTGCACTCCCAACTTCACAATGCTTATATTAATAACTCACTTTACCACCGAGGACACACATAGACTGAAATCAGTGAAGGAATGGAATTAGACATTCTATGCAAATAGAATCCAGAAGAAATCAAAAGTACCCATACTAAGATCAGATACTATGGACTTTTAAATCAGAATCAGTAAAGAAGAGACAGCAAGATCAATTCAGCAAGGTGAAATAATTTTAATTATATATGTACCAATATCTCAATAAGCAAATAATAAGACGTATGTTAATAGCTTTAAAGGTAGAGATAGACTTCAGTACCATAATAGTAAGAATTCTGTCTTGTATTATTTATGATTTATTAAAACTTGCCTGAGGATTCAGAAAAGTAAAGCAACCAGCCACTAGGTCTCACCTCAGCTCAGGCAGAAAGGGCTGATCCACAAATGAGCTCTTCTCCAAATTTTAAACTGCCACCCCTCCTCAGTGTGGCTGGAGAACGAATGCCTGTCTGAGACCTTGCTTCTGTCTTGTATACTTCCCTAATGTTGGGATTAAAGGTGTGAGCTGTAATTCTTTTAGACTGATTCACTCTTGTGTAGATCTGGGTGGCCTTGGACTCACAGAGACATCAGGATGTCTGTGACTAAAGGGTACTTGGCAGATATATGGGGAGGAGAAAGAATGCCAGGCCCTCACACATGGCCAAAGGAGACGAGAGCCCTACAACTGCTGTAGGAAACAGGTTGGTGATCAAAGAGGTGAAAGTATGTCCACAAAGAAACCACAGATGTATGACTCACAATTGGCCAAAGGTAGAAATGGCACGAGCATCTGGATTAATGAATGCACCCAAACAGTATTTTGGATCATCCATTCACATGCTGAAACATTCAGCCTTGAAAAAGGAAGGAGGCTTTGTCACGTGCTACAATGTGATGGACTTTGAGGGTGTTATACTTAGAGGGAGAACCAGGTACAAAATGTTGCAGTTTGGTAGGTGTCAAAAACTGGTAAGCCCAGAGTTAGGATGTAAGAATGATGGTTTATGCAGAGCTGGGGTGACACAACGTTTACAGATAATAAAACACATTATATTATTTTTTTTAACTTAATGTAATTAGAAGCCATGGAAGGAAACTCAGGGGAAAGTGTTTCAGGACATCAGAATTGGAAAAAATGTTTTGAACAAGATCTCCAAAGTATAGAAAACGAAAGTTAAAAAAATGTATATAAAAGTAGAAATCCTTCACACAGCAAAGGAAACAATCATTGGAATGAAGAGATGACCTACAGAATGGCAGAAGACACTTGCAAATCATCCATCTAACAAGGGGATTAATGTCCGGAATATATAAGGAGCACAAATAGTTCAATAGTGAGCTGGCAAGATGGCTCATCAGGTAAAGGAAGAGCAAGCCTGACAACCCCAGTTTGATTCCTAGAAGCAACAGTAGAGGGAAAGAACCCATTCTTGAAAGTTGTTCTCTGACCTCCAAACTAGTACTGTAGCTTATCTGCATCTTTGTGTGTGTGTTACAAGGCCCAGCCTTAAAAAGTAAACAAATAATAAATAAGAAGTTTCTTAAAACTAAATATCTGTTATCAGGTAAATCATATTTCCACCACTGTGACAAATACATACCATGGAATGGTTGGAAGAACCTTTCATATATCTGCTTATGGTTTGAGCAGTGTCAGCCCACAGCTGTTTAGCTCTTTCCTTTGTACTTGTGGAGAGGCAGACCTTCATTGTAGGGAGCATATGGGGGTATAGCTGCCGGCCTCATGACAGGAGGGAAGAGAGAAGAGGTTCTGATAGCATCTTCAAGGTCGCACTTTCAGTGTCCCACTTCCTGAAGGGTCCACTGTTACAGTGTACCAAATAACACTGTAGGTCTACTTCTGAGCCCAAGTTCTTGACTGCATTAAGGGAAAATGGATTAATTTACAGTTTTTCCCACAACTGAGCTGAGAGACATTCTCATTCAGACTGTACCTTTTACATTACATCATTAACTGTACATACATATAAGCAATCATGTGATATTTGCATAAAACATATACACACTATAACATTTAAATCAAGTTAATCATATCATAAAAGTTTATTTCTTTATAATGAAAACATTCAAAGGTCTACAGGGCAAGTTCCAGGACAGTCAGGGCTACACAGAAAGACCCTGTCTTGAAAAATAAAACAACAACAAAAACTACAAGAGCTAGAATACACCAATATAGAGTTAGCTCTGAGCCCCAGTTACTAGAGCTGAAAGACAAACCATTCTTTGACTTGGGGACCAGAGCTTCTGGGTTCTATGCTTTGTTCCATTGCTAGCTACATCTTCAAATTCACTGCTCTCTGTATGATCTGTTCTACATTTGTATGTGGTAGAAGTGTTCACGTGTGTGGAGAGCAGAAGTTGGCATTGCCATGCCTTCCTCCATCACTTTCTGCACTCCTGCCTCATACCAGATCCCTTGCTGAACCGGGATTTCATTATCTAGATTAGATTGGATGGCCAGGGAGCCCTCTGGATTTACCTGTCTCCACTTCCTGGTGCTAGAGTTACACATGTTTTATGTGGGTGCTAGGGATCTTAGCTTAGGATCTCATGCTTGCACGGCAAGTACTTTACCAACTGAGTCACCTCCCACCCGCCTTAGTTTCATTTCAGTTATTATAGTTTTCATCACCAGAATTTCCCTTTCTTCCTTATATCCTACACAAACACACATACACACACATATGTGCTGTTTCCTGTAGGCAAGGTTGGCCTTAAACCTGACATTTCCTATATCCACCTACTTATCATCCTGATTGTTATGCCACCAGAGTTGGCTCTACATACGTGTTTTATATTCAAGTTTCCTTTGCATGTTATTTTCAGAATTTATAATGTTATTCTATATTACTTAACACCTATGTCTAATCTTATCACCTTTCAATTTTGTATTTGCCTCTGTCTAAGGATCTTATGGGCATATATTCCCATTTTCCTACATTTTTACATCGCTAGTAAGTTTTCAATATATGCCAGACATTGTAATTTTACAGGGATGGGAACTATGATTTTTGTATTTCTTTAAAGAATGTTGGACTTTTTCTAGCAGGTAGATGAAATATTTCTAACTAGTTGGATCCTTTGGAGGCTGTCATAAGCTCTCTTATGGAGGTACCTAAGTGGATGTACATTGTTCTAGTTCTAAGTCATCTTCATTTCTAAGGTATGGCCTTCTGGAGTCTCTAAAGAATACCAATGTAATTATTGAGGTCTCCTCTCTTGCTGGATGGAATTGACTGAGTCACACCTCATGTGAGTTCTGTGATTTGGAAGATTCTGATTTTTCTTTTCTTGAAAGATTTTGTTTAAAAAATTTTATTACATCTATTTATTGGTATGTTTATATATGTATGCACATAGGCACACACATGCCACAGCACATGTGTGGAAGTCAGAGGACAACTAGTGGGAATCAGTTTTCTCCTTCCACCAAGTGGATTGTAGGGATTGACCTCAGGTTGTCAGGCTAGGCAGCCTTTACCACCAAGCTGTGTCACCAGCTCAAAAGTTGTTCTTGCTAACTCCATAGAGTTTTATATGTATAGACTGACACTCAGTCACAGACTTGAGATCCCTGTATACATTGCTCAGGAACTGTTTTGGTTTGTTTTTGCATAGCTCCATCCTCCATTGGACTCTGTTCAATAAACTTACAGTTTCTTTACCTATTCTGGTCTCTTCCTCCCCATTGCAGTAAGATAGCTAGGTCCCTTTGGGCTCTCCCTTCTTGTACAAAACTCTACTACTTACTTAAAGGAAGGAAGCCTGTGTAATGATATATCTGAATTAATGTGCTTTCATTTTCTCAGAGGTATAATACTGTAACCTCGCATGTCCTTTGACTAAGCAGTTACTCCCTTTATTTTTTCCAGTTTTATAGTTATTACAAGTTTAGTAGACCTTATACCTCATGATAATTATAGATATTCTCTTGATGGTTATTTTAATGAAAGAGACTCATAAAGTTGGGACTTCTACAAAGCAGAGGAATCAGAAGTAGAGGAATCAGGAATTTGTTTTATGATAATATCAAATATAGAGTGTCTAGAGAAGCAGGTGCCATCCTGGAAAGAAGTCCAGAAAAACACAAGAAGCCTGTGTGGAAGCATATTTAATGGCCCTAGATACCCTGTCTTCTACACACTCCCATTCATCTTATTCTTAGGCTATTACTGTACCTTCTGCTTTCCTGGTATTGGGGGATCTTCTGAATAAGAAAGGTACTCTTTCAGCACCACCAAATACATACATACATACATACATACATACATACATGAAAGATTCATTCAGGGAGGGAAAATGCTGACATCTGCATAAATGATTGGCACTTAGTCCTTTGCTGAGATTTGAAAGAGTATGACAAGGCTTTGAAAGCTTGCAACCCTGAAGGGTTTTGGGAAATCATTTATGCTATGGTGGCTAGGTTTATCCCTTGTACCTCTTCCCCTCTTTCCCACTTCTGTCTGCAGTGTTGATGAGGTGCCTTTCCTCATGCATGACCAAGATGTGAGTAGAACAACCAATATCAGAGAGGTCCTACCATCGTCTGCTTTTAATCATGCTGCCACCTTCAATTGGACTTTCCTGTCAAGTCTGAATGCCGGAAAATGGTTCATAAAGGTAGGACTCATATCCTCTGCTTCTGTACACTTGTGTGGGAGCCCTCCTCTGGTCAGGTTCAAGTGCTCTTCCTGGAGATAAAGCTGAAAGGTAAAGGCATATAAGAGCATACACTGTCCCTCCTAGTTTAGTAGCAGGGCTCACATTTTCTGGTGACACAGTGGGTCAGACCACTGTTGTCAACATTTACTAAAAAGTCTGAAGATAAACTTGTATACTTAATTTTTATTGTTTAATTTATTTTATTCAAGCATTTCATAGTCTTTAATAGTGTGTTTGCAATGCATATAACATTTTCCTGGCTATTTTTAACATCTCACATTCTTCATGAAGCAGAGTCGGAAACACATTTATTCCTGAATTTTTGCTATTCAACAAATATGTGTTAAGTACAAGGCACATGGAATATAATGATGACTAACCCAAATGGAGTATAAGGAATATACTGACAGCCCAAAGAGAACAGTATTAGAAACGGGTGATTACTGTACATTATAATAAGTGCCAACTATTGTAAATTTCTTGTTTCTGAAGCATTTAAGAGCAACTTCTGACTTAGTCTAAATAATAAGAATGGAGGTTCTGGAAGAAGACAGGGAATAGTAAAATATAAAGCATATATTATGTATGCTATAATTTTGGGTCACCTTTTTCTTGAGGAGGTTGGAGAATGCATATTTTACATTAAGGTACTATTTATGCTACAGGAGATTGTTACCAAGGGGTAACATGGGTGACGGTGGTGATGTATTTCAGCAGTACACTACACTGGAGTCAATGTGTGTATAAGGAGGCAGGAAGAAGGATGGAGGAAAGGGCAGAAAAATAAGGGCAAGGGAGGGGATAGTTGGGAGAAGAATCAATGAGGCATGTAGAGATGAGATTTTGCAATGCTGAATAACAAGTTAGAGTGATTATAATTTCCCCTTTGATTATTTCAAAGAGGTAAAGAGTTTGATGAAAGGTCAAGATTAGACTCTTTTTTTTTTTTTAGCTGAACCCTGAGGAAATTTTTTTTATATTTATTTACTGGTGAAGGCTTTCTTTATATATTTTTTTTTCTTATTTTACATATCGATCCCAGTTCCCTCTTCCTCCCTCCCTCCCATCACCCCCAACCACCACCCTCATATCCCATCCCCCCACTCCACAGGAGGGATCATCAAAATCTGTCAAGTCATTTGGAGTAGGGCCTAGGCTTTCCCTCCTGCCTCTAGGCTAAGGGAGTATCCCTCCATGGGGAATGTGCTCCCAAAGTCCTTTTGTGTGCCAGGGATACATCATGGTTCCACTGCCAGAGGTCCCATAGACTGCCCAGGCCTTCAAACTGAGACCCACGTTCAGGGAGTTTGGGTCGGTCCAATGCTGGTTTCTCAGCTATCAGTCTGGGGTCCATGAGCTCCCCCTTGTTGAGGTCAGCTGTCTCTGTGGGTTTCTATAGCCGGGTCTTGACCCCTTTTCTTATCACTCCTCCCTCTCTGTAACAGGATTCCAGGAGTTCAGCTTAGTGTTTAGCTTTAACCAAGAGGATGTTAAGAAAATGGAGACTAGCCGGTCACAGAAGGACAAATAATGTCTGATTGCACTTAATTGAGTTACCTGGAATAGGGTGATTCATAGAGACCAAAAAAAAAAAAAAAAAAAAAAAAAGTAGAAGGATAGTTGCCAGATCTTGGGAAGGCAGAAAGGGCATTGTTTAATAGTTTAAAGGTTTCTGGTTTTGAGAAGAAGACATTCTAGAAGTGAAGGATACTAATGGTTTATATCAGTGTCATATGTTTAATGACTCTGAACAAGTACGTGCAAGTTCAGATAGAAAATAATTTTAAAAAGTCAGAATTTTAGGTCTCCTGCATCCTTTATTCCTTCATCTTTCTCTGCCGCTCTGGTATTCCTGAGTGGCCAGTCGGATCTCTAAGAAGCAGAGAACTCTTTGCTATTTTTTGAAAATCACTGTCAAGGGTATCCTCTGGGACCGTGCTTAAGACACAGGTGAGAATATCCTTACCTGGGATGAGTAGTGTCACAGGCTCACTGGGAAAAGACCATGCATGGTTGTTGTAAGAGCCAAAGCATCTGTATGTCTCTCTGTGGCTCTGGTCATAGGGCCCATGGGGAACTCTGCTTTCTTGTTCCCATGTCTTTGCTGGACATGGTTGGGTTCTCCCTCTTTGAGAAGAAAGAATTTGCTTGTCCCACCATCCAGAAGGAAGGATAAAGTCACATTCTCCCCCAAGGTTACTTCAGGCCCTGGATGAACACTGAGGTTGGGCATGTCATACCTGTGGGAGAAGCAGGGTTGATAAATACAGAACATTGTCGCATGCCCAACTCTTCAGTCTTCTGCTTCCCTTCCTCTGTGACCAGACATCACTTTTTGGAATCTGGGATCCTTATGCTTCCTAAATGCATGCTTGTCACAGATAGATCCATTTTCCTTCACAACTAGGGAATTTGGGTCTAGCTTCTGCGTCTCTACCTATGGCGGACCAAAACCACTACTGTCACTTAGAAGGCTGAAGATATTTTGTCCCTACCTGGAATATCAGAAACCCAGGGACAGGATAGACTTTTACATTTTAATAATTAGTATTTATTTTTGAGATTATAATATGATAATACCATCTCCCTGTCCCTGTTCTCTCTCCAAAACATCCTTCCTCACTTTCAGATTTGTGGTATACTTTTTAAATTAATTGTTGTTACATATCTGTAAATATATACATATAAACACACACACACACACATGTTCCTAAATACATGAGTGCAACCTTTCAGTCTGTATACTATTACTTGTTTGTATGTTTTCAGAGTGGGCCATTGCACATGGGCCAACCAATTGCTGTGCCCTTTGCTGGCTAAAACTTTCTGCTGTTGTCATCATTCCTTAGTTGGCTTTAGTTCTGTGTGTAGGGTAGAGGCCTCCTGGGCTTTCTCCTGCCCTAAAGACATCTCTTTTTCTTGGAGGAGGGAGCTGGGAAGGTGGGTCAGTTGATAAAGCCCGGAGTTTGATCCTTGGGTCTGGGTTTGATCTCTAGTGTTACAGAAATCAGGCATGGTGGTGTATGACTGTGATGCCACTGCCGGACAGGCAGGGATAGGGAGATTTGTTGGTCAGCCGACCTAGTGTATGTACTTGGTGAGTTCCAGATCCCAACAGGATAACTCAGGTGAACAGCTCCTGGAAAATGACACCTGAGATTGTTCTCTGGCTTTCGCATGTACACACACACACACACACACACACACACACACACACACGTGCACACACATGCACACACACATGCACACACACACATGCATGCACATATGTGTGTGTGCACACACACGCACCCACACAAAATTACACTCTTTTTTTTTTTTTTTTTTTTTTTTTTTTTTTTTGCATATAGAGTATTTTTTATTTAATTTTATATAACAAAGTCCAATTAAATGAAAACAAACATTTATACACAATATTTGGGAATTTGGGCGTCGTTCTTTCCAAACTACTTCCTGCTGGTAAGGGGCGCTGTCTTGGGGGATTCGAAGAAGATTCAGATATCCTAGCTGTAGTCTGTAGGGCTGTTTTGTCCAGCTGTTTGGAATGTAGGATCAGCTTGTACTCTGTTTCAGGCGGTCTGGTGTGATCAAACCACATTAGTCTGGAAGGAATCCACATCTTTTCATTTTCTGTGGAAACAAAAATAGAAATACTTTTCCCCAGTAACTTGTTCTTCAACTTAAATTTTGGAGTCAAAGCGTTTTTTTTTTTTTTTTTTTTTTTTTTTTTTTTTATTATTATTATTTTACATGTCGATCCCAGTTCCCTCTCCCTCCCTCCCTCCCTCCCCCCAAGCCCTCCCTCCCTCCTTCCCTCCCTTTTGCCCTCTCTACCCTCTCCCATGCACTCTAAACACCCTCCCCTCCCAACCCCCCACCACAATACAATATGTAGGGGAATGCCATCCAGTTGGGGTCATGTAGATCTGACAGGTCCTGTGAAGTAGGGACTAGGGCTTCTCTCCTATCTCTAGAATAAGGCAGTTATCCCTCCATGGGGGATATGTTTGCAAAGTCCTTTTGTGCACCAGGGATACATCCTGGCTCCACTGTCTGAGGTCTCTTAGACTGCTCAGACCTTCTGGCTGAGACCCATATTCAGGGGAGTCCGAGTCAGACCTCTGTTGGCTTCCCAGCTATCAGTCTAGTGGCCCTTAGCTCCTCCTTGTTCAGGTAAGCTGTCTCTATGTACTTCTACCGCATGGTCTTGTCCTCTCTATCTGCTTCTGGGTTCTAGTTTGACTCAGTGTTTATGTATGGGTGTTTGCTCCTGTTTTCAACAGGCATTAGTTGAGGACTCCATGGAGAAGTTAGTTGTTGATCTCACTCTCCGGGAAGGGCATTTATGATAGCCTTTCCACGGAAGCTGAGATTGTTAGTTGGGAGCAGTCTTGTAGTTCCCTCGACCTTTCTTTGTGTTCAACTTTATCTTCAAACCAATATTGGCTCCCTCTTTTATGTTCTCTCTCTCTGTCTCTGTCTCTCTCTCTCTTTCCTATTTTCCATTCCTAACCAGGCTCAATCCTCCTAGTCACACATGCCTTCCTCTCCTCCCTCTCATTTTCTCCTACTTCTCTCTCCATTAGCTGTCCTCCCCCACTATACCTGAGGTCTGGGGGACTTGTCCCTTCCCAGTTCTGTGAGGGACTTTATATGAATCTCTTAGAATACAACTTGTATCCTAGTTCCTCTGGTGATGTGAATTATAGGCTGGTGATCATTTGATCTAGGTCTAAAATCCATATATGAGTGAGTACATACTGTGTTCCTCTTTTTGTGACTGGGTTACCTCATTCAGGATGGTTTCTTCAAGTGCCATCCACTTGCCTGCGAATTTCAAGATACCATTATTTTTTTCTGCAGAGTAGTATTCCATTGTGTAGATGTGCCACATCTTCATTAACCATTCTTCAATTGAAGGGCATCTAGGTTGCTTCCAGGTTCTTGCTATTACAAAT